TATGATAGTTATGTTCCAATATTGGAGGGGTTGTCACAAAGAAGAAGAGGTCAACCTATTCTCAAAAGCACCTGAAGGCAGAACAAAAAGCAATGGATGGAAACTAACAAGGAGAGATGCAACATAGAACTAAGATAAATTTCCTGACAAAGAACAATTAATCAGTGGAGCAGCTTGCCTTCAAAAATTATGTGTGCTTCATCACTGGAGGCTTTTAAGAAGAGACTGGACAGCTATTTATCTGAAATGCTTGAGCAGAAGACTTCCTAGGTCCCTTTCATCTTTGTTATTCTGAATACATAGAAGCAACTTTAAACATATTTAAACGTTACTAAGTTTTTTGTCTAGTGCTTGCCCGATTACTTGCAGTGCTTGTAAGAAAAACATTAGTAACTTTCTTGGTTGATGCTCTTCATGTATAAGGCACTATTACATTATAGTACAGAATAATGTGACACTGAAAAAAACATAGATAAGAATGTTCAATACTGCCATAAGCAGTTTGATAACCACATAAATACAGCCCTAATCATTCTATACTGAGGTAGCAATTTAATTTTAAAAATTGCAAATGAGAAATACATTGTAACAACCTTGAAAACAATGTGATATAAAGTTTATATCACATTGTGATATAAACATATATTATAAACAATGTTATTTAAAACAGGGAGAAATAAAGATCCTCATTTTTCTACAAAACAAAATACATTTCCGAACATTTATATTTCAAGGTTCTACAGAACAAAATACATATCCAAACATTTGTATTTCAAGGTTCTGATGATAGCTGATACTTGTAAAATGCATTTTATACAATATTGTTTGCTCCTACCTGTCAATCTTGATAGTTCAATCCTGTTAAGTATCTTCATTGTATCTGTTGGTTCAAATAATGAAACAAAATCCAAATGTTGCTCGGTGTGTAACTCATGAGACTATGCTAAGTAATAACAATTAAGACATTCTTGGAGTAAATCTTGCAATTTTTTTACATTTATATGTGATATAACTATTGAGTTACTTTTTTAAACGGTTTCAAGCAAATTTAGGTAGCTTGTTTGAGTAGTATTAAAAGATTCCCTTAGCTAATTCATTTATGGTAATACCATCATTACTTTGTTCAAATGTAATTCCAATGGGCAAAAATAAAAAGGCATGCCTAAAAAGAGGTGCTAGCCTGCCCTGTCCATACATCAGCAGCCCAATCAACCACACACTTTGGCAGGCGCCAATACCGCAAGGGTTCAAAAAAAATCCATGAAACATCACCTCATAAGCGCGCAATCCACCCCGACTCCCTCCCCACCATTTCACGGCACGTGACAAGCCCATTCACAAGTCAGCGTACAATCTAATTCACGAAAATGCACAGCAGAGATTTAACATAAAATCCAACAACCGCTTAACAAATGAGTTTGGCCTGTTTGCAGTCCCTTCTTTTCCTCAGAAAGGCTTGGGAAAGAGAATAACATGCTAGAAACAGCCTCCCTTCTATGGAAAACCCGCCCTGTCGTTTTACTTTTTTTGACATCAGGGGTCACCTCAACTGGCTCCTCTTATTTCTCACAACCACGACTTTAAGGGACCCGCAACCCCAGAAGGCGCCAGACGGGGCATGCCCTGTCCCCTTCGGAAGAAAGAGCGAACCTACGGGAAACACCGGGAGAATCGCCAAGCAGCCCCTTCCCGTAATGCCCTTGCTCTGGGCACTCGTCCTCGCTCTCTCCCGCCGCCTGGCTCCACCATCCACAACGCCAAAGGAACCCAGTTCAACGTCCCTGCCCGCTGAATGAAAAGGGGGCGGAGAAACACGCCGAAGGTCGCCGCTTCCACTTCTCGCGAGAAACCCCACGGCCTCAACGACGGTTTTAAAAAGCGAGGGGCGGGAGGGTGGTGGCTGACTCTACCAATGGCTCTCCCGGCACGTGACCAGAATTACTCTCTCCCCGCTTTGTGTAGTCCAACCTTGGCAACTTTAAGGCTGGAGGACTTCAACCCCCAGAATTCCTCAGCAATGTATCACTATCCTATGCAGTTGCCTTGACTCGCTTTATTGTGGTTGCTGTTTGGCCACGTGACAATTGCTTTGCTGGCTGGGGAATTCTGGGAGTTGAAGTCCTCCAGGCTTAAAGTTGCCAAGGTTGGACACCCCTGGGGTAGTCCACAGGTACCACTGTCCTATGCAGTTGACTTGACTCGCTTTATTGTGGTTGCTGTTTGGCTACGCGACAGTCGCCTCTCGCCTCATCCCGGAAAAAAACAGAGACGAGGCTTCAGGGGCTCCCTTGGCAGAGGGAAGATTTAGGGTTGGCTCTACGTATACGGGAGGTTGAAACTCGGACATTTCGAAGTTGGCAATGGCTGCTGCTGTTCTGGAGCCCTCAAGCAGCGAGGACTGGGAGCAGCCTCTTTTGAACGGAGACGAAAGGTGCATAGATGGGCGACCGCGCTCGGCTCTTATTTGCCAGAGGGAGCCTTTTCGGCCTGAAGGAGCGGGATGTGTGTGAGGGGATCCACTTGGACTCCAGAAGCGATGGAGTCACAGTCCTCTGTATCGGCAACTCAAGTTGTCTCACGTTGAAGGTGCTGGGAATTGTAGTATAAATGAATTCAGCTTCCTTGTAAGCTGCTCGCCTTGGTGCGTAAGGAGAGGCCTGTAGTAATCGGTGTTAGTGAGATTAGCCTTGAAACTCAGATTTACGAATTTCTGTATGAATATAAGAAACCAAAACAACTAATGGTGGTAGTAAAGTATATAGGCAAGTAAAATCGGTGGTATCTGTTTAATATAAGTGATACAGGTATTTGTATTTATGTGTAACGTGTTTTATTAGCGTTGTATATCAGATTGCATGACATCTGAAGATGGCAGAGGCTAAATAAATCTGTGTTAAAGAATCTTAATCAACCTTTGACCTACTGTCTGTGGCATTGTTAATAAAATATGTATCGAAGGTCAAGGTGGTTTATTGATAAGGCACAGGTGTTTTTGTATATATTTAAATGGGGTGTGTGTACTTGAAACAGACTTCTTGTTTTTTGTTTTTATATTTAGATTTCTTGAGTTTTTAGACTATTGTATGACAAGGGTCTCCAACCTTGACAACTTGAAGACTTGTGGACTTCAACTCCCAGAATGGCTGGCTGAGGAATTCTGGGAACTCAGGTCTACAAGTCTTAAAGTTGCAAGGTTGGAGACCTCTGCCCTATGCCAATATTGAATAGTGTTTTTTAGGGTGTTTATTGCATAACATTGTTTGTGAAAGCCAAATCTGACTCTAGGTTCTGCCTCAGTTTACCTTCCCAATAAGCAACTGAGTCGGAAGATCATTGAAAAGCAGCTTATTAGGGTACCCTGATAAAGTGGAGAAAATTTTGAGTTCCATGTTCCCCTCCTTTTTATAATTAACACAAAGAAAGTGTAAGAGGAAAGTTGATTGGACAGAATAAAAGCAACCTCCTCTTTGCATAGGAAATCAATTACATGCAGTCAAACATGTTATATATTTGTATCCTATAATATTTCACAATGTTCACTAAAATGAGGTCTGATGTCAGAAGGGGTGTAATTGTAGGGAAAAGGGTTATTTAGAGTTCATAAAAGAGATAAGCCAGACCCAAGTTGTACTAACAAACTTTTCTTATCTGGTGGTAGTCTCCAGCTTGTTCATCAGTTTAAGAATGTTAAAAGTTAATAAATCTGAACATAATTTTAAAAGAGAAAATAAATCAAATTAAAATACAAGGTAACTATGTTAGTTAAATAACAAAACCCATGTTATTTTCCCCTTATTTGAGTGTATTAAGTGTATATATTTTTTATGTTTTTTTTCTTTAGAGGGAACCCTGATTAATCATGGGGAGTAAATTTAGTGTGGCACCTTAAATTCTTGACAATCCAAGCCCTCCTATGACCCGTCTTAAAGCACAATACTGTAGATGCTTTCTGTCCAGTGTAAAATAGAGAGGAGTTATGACTCCTGATCTTGCAAATATTTTTGTGTATGCAGCCTAGGTCTGTATTTATATATTTATTCTTAATAAGTTTATATAGCCACCCAATTTACAAATTGTGACTGGGTCATCATCTTGTTTCATAGAGGATTTTTGCAAATTGCTTGCCAATATTTCTAGTCCTAGCCTACATCAAAGGGGTTGACATCAATGTTAAAAATTTCTTCAATTTCTGTGTTTCCTCATGACAAAGTTATTGCCTGCTCCCTCCTTAACACACCAGAATCTCAACACCTGCATTGTTCCTCCAGGTCAAAGGACCCCATATCACCTCCAGATAATGTAACCACTTTTTTTAATGCATTTACCCAGCATTCAGTGCCCTTGTGCCAGTTATCGAGCTGCTTCCCGTCTCCAAATCATACAAACGTATAAATCTGACAGTTTACTTTGTTCTCAGCTGGGATAGCTGGAAGTCTAAATACGATTAGGGAAAGGAGCTGATATCTACATTCCAATCAACTCTATCCTCTAAACATTTGCTGTAAACTTCTTAATGCATAAACTGCTGTCCAGTATGATTCCCTACAACTTATGCTCATGTCTTTGATATTTTCTACCCAAATTTAGGATTTAGCATTTGTCCATATTGAAATTCATTCTGATGTATTTGTGTCCAATTCATGCTTTGTATAGCAATTGGTGAATTTGACTTCTGTAAAATAGAACAGGGCATTGCCAATACATGATGACATGCATCAGAGAATGATTTCAATCATACCAAAATAGGAATAAATTATTAAATGTAAATATAGTAACATATAGTCCTAACACTTCTTGAGTTAGAATTTGTTGAAGAATGGCGAATATTTGACACATTACCATTAATCTCATTAATATTACAATATTGTTTACAGATCTAAGGATGTTATGGAAACATTGCAACATTACAAGAGTCGGTGGAGATCCATTCGAATAATGTATCTTACAATGTTCTTCAGCAGTGTTGGTTTGTAAAATTGGCTAACCAGTCATTGTTTTAATATAACAGTGTTATGTTGATTAATTTGATATTAGTTAAAATGTGTAGAAATTCTTATATAGCAAACTATTTTATTTAATTTTTTTGGCTCATTTGTAGGTTATACTCAGTAATCTATTCAGGATTTAGCAAAAACAAAATAATACTAGACTATAGCATTATCAACTAACCCCAAAGGAAAAACAACTGTCACAATAAAAATGCTCAGGAACTTGTTCATAAACATGTAGGGACCAGGTGGAATTATGCCTGGCTGAAGCAAATGTTCAGCAGAATCAATAGCATGGTTCTATTTCCAATATATTCTGCGTCCATGCTGATGAAGATAATGCCACTAAGTATCTGTTGTAATATGTAAAATAATTTTCAGCATATTGGAATCTGATTGGGCTAGATTTTCCATTATTTTCCTCACTTTTAAAAAAAAAAATGGTCAGTGTTCATAAGGTCTCCTATGTAGTTTGCCTGACTTTTTCATAATATTGTGGTTTGTGATAAAATGGTATGAAGTACCTTCTAGATTTCTGGATCACCTTGTATAATGGATGATAACTAATGAAGTCTTTTGTGGGGTTTCATTAAAAGAAGCAGAAGAATGTGTACAATGCATTAAAGAGTTTTCACAGTGATATAGTACCATGGAAACAGTTCCACATATGCACCTACCATTGACTGAATTCCTTTTTCTTGAAGGTAGATATTTTAGGATGATACATATTCACTTCTGTAGTTAAACTGTATAACCAAGTGTCATTGGATAAGGTGTAGCTTTGTTATAGATAGTTTAGTTTTCTTAGAAATATCATTAACGTTTGCAAGACAAGGTTAAACATTCCATCTAAAATTATTTGGAGTTTTTGAACTTTTTCTTTTTCCAAAATAACATAACTCCATTTTTTTGTATGGAATTTTGTATTTTTATTTCTCTGAATATGGTCAATAGATGACAAAAAAGTACTGGAGAAAAATAACTAAACTACTTTATGTTGCAGGTTTCTCTATTGTCATTATGTCAATATGGCCCTATCTTCAACAGGTTTGTGAATTACCTAAATTTTTACTTGTGTGAGACTAACTTAGGCATCTGAGAGCTATAGTGGTATGGTATCGTGATTAAAGCACCAAGCTAGAAACTAGTTTACTGGGAGTTCTAGTCCTGCTCTCAGCACAAAGCAGCTAAGTGACCTTGGGCCACCCTCTCTTTCAACCATAGAAAGGAGGCATAGGTAAACCAGTTCAAAAAATATTGCCAAGAAAATGTATATTCCCCCATCTTTCCCCTCTATTAATGAAATAGTTTTAATTGACGGGAATGGATTGCAATTATTTCCTGGTCTTACATAATAATTTATGGTTCTGATTTGATTTTTTAAAAATCCAGATTATGGAGGGAGAATTGTATGCTGCTTACAGTTATTACAATGGCCTTATAAATAAAATATTTTTGTTCAAAGATTATTTTACATAATATACAGATAGTCATTGACTTACGACCACAATTGAGCCCAAAATTTATGTTGCTAAGCGAGACAGTTATGTGAGTTTTGCCCCATTTTATAACCTTTTTTAGCACAGTTGTTAAGTGAATCACTGCAATTAAGTTAGTAACACATTTGTTAAGTAAATCTGTCTTCCCCATTGATTTTACTTGTCGGAAGATTGCAAAAGGTGGTGCCATGACCTCGGGACATAACAACCATCATAATTATTTTCTGGAGAAATATAAGATGGTGAGATATAGGAGAGCTTAGGTTTTAGTGTAATGGTGCAATCAGTTGCGTTACAACACAGTTAAAGAGGACAAGTGCCATAATTTGCAGAGATTCATGTTTTGGATAAGAGGAACAGCTATAATAGAAACATACCGAAGTGTAACAGTTTAGGTGTTGGACTAGGATTTGGAGGAACAGGCTCACGCCCACTGTCAGTTATGGAAGCTGATTGGGCGACTGAGCCAATCAACATCCTCACTCTAACCTATTTTAGAGAATTGATGTTTTGATTGCCATTTTTAGGTTCTTGAGCAAAATATAAATCTAAATAATAAAGAAAAAGAAGAAAGTGCATGACATCAATCGTTCAAAATATTTTTTGCCATTGATCCTTTTCAAATTGTACCAGCCACCCAATGATATATAAATTATTCAGCAACCATTCATTTACCATTTGGAATGTATATCCTTATCTCCTTATGGTGATGCTGCTAAAAATCCTATTGTTGTAACTATTATGTGGGCAGGTAGTGCTTCATAGACTAGTTTTAAATTTAAACTTCAGTCTCTGTCCATGTTAGTTTAACAGTGTTATTCCATAAGTTATTAATCAGCTTAATTTAGCAATTAATAGTCTGCAAGATGTAATATATAAATGCTGGGTCCTCTAATTTAGTCTTGTAATTAAAAATGTTCTCTTCTTTAACATTTACCTATACTTTAGTAGCATAATATCTGTTAGGATTGAATATTTTTAATTATGGTGTCCTACTGATTAATAAAGTATTGCTGAAATGGTGTTTATGGTTTCCGTAGATAGATAAAACTGCAGATCCAAGTTTTCTGGGCTGGATTATTGCTTCATACAGCATTGGTCAGATGATAGCTTCTCCATTCTTTGGAACGTGGTCTAATTGCAGGCCAAGAAGAGAACCTCTCGTGGTTTCAACTGGTATTTCAATAGCTGCCAATTTCCTCTATGCTTATGTCCATTTGCCCCCTTCACACAACAAATACTACATGCTAGCTGCTCGAGCATTGGTGGGGTTTGGTGCAGGTAATTTTAGAAATATTTAAAGTTTGCTAGATTAGTACGGTAGTTATATGTATTTAAGGCAATTTAGCTGTTCGTTAGAGAAATCAAAATCTCAGGCCCTTGAGATATTTCTACCCCAAGTTGGCACTCAAAACCTCTTGAGTAAATGTATAATGCTGATTGTCTCAACATATAGATTGAAAGGTTTTCCAGAATCCTACTTACTAATGTTTGTGCCATGGCTTTCTGTAGGATTAGAAAATCAAAATATAATATTCTAAGTAAGAGACTCATCAGAGTAGTAAAGATTCCCTGAGATATCAGTTTAAAAGTACTTGTCATATTTTATGGATTTTTCTCATATGAAAAAAATTGCAAGGAACTTACTACCAATCAAAGGCAATTTACTCAGATTTCACACCTGAGTGATGCTATGAAATAATTATTCCTGATTAATTTCAAGTTTCTAAAAGATTTTCTGAAGCACATTGATATTTCTGAATAATTGTTTTCAAGAGAAAGGTTCTTTTGCATCTTTTTAGTTATTAATTTCTGTAGTAACAAGACCTATTAAAATAGATTTGGTGAGCAGACAAAATACCAAGATTTTGCATACTATCTTGTTGGGCTTTTAACTACCTTATGCATATGGTTAAAATATATATATGTGCCTTAGGTTTTCCAGATAATCACTGTTTTGTTTTGTTTTAGGAAATGTAGCAGTAGTTCGCTCATATATTGCTGGTGCCACCTCTCTTGATGAAAGAACTAATGCCATGGCAAACACTAGTGCTTGCCAGGCAGTGGGATTCATACTGGGACCAGGTATAAATCTACATTGTATTCTCAATTTCTTCAAGTGATTCAGTTGCGGGAGAAAAATATTTTAATCTATGTGTACACATTTAAACTCCAATTTGCTACATAAAAACATAGTAAGAGTAGAGAACTATTTATAAATGGGGCTTGAGTTTTAAGGAATAGAATGTAGTGCCAATTTGACTTCAGACAATTTTCATTTAGTTTTTTTACAGTTTATTAATAAATAAAATTTGAAGCAGTGCTTGTCAAGGAAAAATATTAATATAAACTAAAAGAACTATGTAACTTATTTGGGAGTTTTTAATCAGAAGTTGAATACTAATTCTTTTTTTTTTCATTTATTTAATTAGATTTTCAGCTGCTGCAATAAAATTTCTATATTTTTTTTATAACTAACATCAGGTATACTTACTGTTAAAATTCAGTTGTATAAACTTATGTTTTCTCTTAGTTTTTCAGACTCTCTTTTCACTTATTGGGGAAAAAGGAATTTCATGGAAAACAATTTATCTTCAACTGAACATGTACACAGCTCCAGTTTTATTTGGAAGTCTTTTAGGAATTATTAATATTGTTCTGATAATTGCTGTATTTAGGTAATTAGAAATTTAAAAAATTGTTAATATTTATAAGAAAGGTCTTTCAATTTGTACATAAAATCTCTGTTCAGAATAGAGTAGAATAGAAATAGAATAGAATAGAATAGAATAGAATAGAATAGAATAGAATAGAATAGAATAGAATAGAATAGAACAGAACAGAATACTTTATTGGCAAAGTGTGATTGGACACACAAGGAATTTGTCTTGGTGCAAATTCTCTCAGTGTACATAAAAGAAAAGATACATTCATCAAGAGGCAAGAATTATAAAGTACAACATTTAATAATAGTCATAGGGTACAATAAGCAATCAAATCATACTAGGAAACAGTCAACATAAATCGTAAGGATACAAGCAACAAAGTTACAGTCATACAGTTACAAGTGGGAGGCAAAGGGTGATAAGGAGTGATGAGAAGATTAACAGTAATAGTAGTGGAGACTTTGTAAATAGTTGGACAGTGTTGAGGGAATTATTTGTTCAGCAGAGTGATGGTGTTTGGGGAAAAACTGTCCTTGTGTCTAGTTGTTCTGTTGTGTAATGCTGTATAGTGTCGTTTTGAAGGTAGGAGTTGAAACAGTTTATGTCCGGGATGTGAGGGATCTGTAAATATTTTCACAACCCTCTTTTTGACTTGTACAGTATACTGGTCCTCAGGCAGGTTGAAGGCAGGTTGATAGTAATTGTTTTTTCTGCAGTCCTAATTATTCTCTGAAGACTGTGTTTGTCTTGTTGGGTTGCATTGCTTAGTCCATTTAGTTTCTTTAGTTCTTATTATGAACCAAGAAAAGAACGAAAGGAGTAATTTGTAGATTTTGTACTTGTTTTTAGTATTTCTTGATCAATAATACTGTGATAGATCTTAGTTTGATAAGTTTATTAAATCTTATCAATGAGTATAATTCTCTAAAATAACATGCAAGTGCTTCTATTCTATTCTCAAGTTATTTATGAAGAGTGTTTATAAGACTTTATCCATAAAACAAGATGTTGCATAATTGAATTAACAAAGAATTGTGCCAGATAACATTGTTTCAACACAAACTGTCAATTATATTGAAAGTTTCTTTGGTATATTCAATTATTGTTGTTGTTTAATTTTTAGAGAGCATCATGTGGATGACTTGGGACGACCACAAAATAGTATTAATACTGAAACTGAAGGTAATTCGAAATATATTTTAATATACTTGCTAATATAGGTAGGAATAGTGTCAAATCATAATGTGCAAAGGATGTAGGTGATAGGTTTTGGGATATATATTTGAAGTCTGAGCAATTAATTGCAACTTCAAATCAAATTTATTAGATTTGGTGATTCACAAGCACACACTAATGGTTGCAATTTATTGTGGATAGGGATATAGCTACAGTGAAAATGAATTCCTGTGTCAGTATTATTACAATGCAGTTTCTAGATAAGTATTAATATCTAAATATATACTAAAATTCTAAAGGAAAATATGAAGGAATCTTAAAGTATCAAATTCTAAACATGCTGCAGAAAGTGAGCAATGTACCTGATCTTTGTAGACCCCTCTATATTGTTAATGAAAGAAAAATCTTTCAGCCCAATTTGGAAATAACTATTTATTTATTAGATTTGTTTGCTGTCCATCTTGCTCTGGATGGCTTATAACATTAAAAGCCAATAAAAGCTAAATAAATAAGTAAAACAGGCATTTCTAATAACAATAAAAATTACAATTCAGAGACAGAGAGGAAGGGAATAAGAGGTGCAGATGGGGAAAGTAGGATCTTCTCTTAATCCATCAACCATCTCCAACATGATACATCACCATTGGGGCCCCAGGCCAACTGGCAGAACCAGGTCTTCAGCCCCTTATGGAAGATCAGAAGCCTGGGACTGGATCTCATCTAGGGTAGCAAGATATTCCAAAGACCGATGCCATGGCAGAAAAGGCTCTTCTCCAGGATCCCACCAGCTTAAATTCCTTGACTGATGGGACCTGCAGCATGTCTTTTCTGCCACTATGGATGAGGCAGGCCATCCCATTGGGATGAGATAGTTCCTAAGATAACATGTACCCATGTCATGCAGGGCTTTAAAGATGATAATCAATATTTTGTATTGTATCTGGAAGCAAACTGGCAGCTAGTGCAGCTCATGGAACAGCAGTGTAATATGGGCCACTACCCGCAACACCGCAGCAGTTGTAGCTTCTGAATGCTCTTCAGGTATAGCCCTATATAAAGCATTTTGCAGTAATTCAAGCATCAAATGACCAAAGCTTAAGAGACTAAGTGCAGGGACTTCTGACCCAGGAAAGGGTGCAACTAATGCACAACACAAAAGTTGTGTAAAGATCCTTCTAGCCATGACTGCTATCTACACTTTGACAAGTTATTAGTCCAAGAGAACTATCATTGTTTAGGCAACAGAACAAAACAAGTGTTAGGTCCACAATTATACTCTTCCTGGCATAAGTCACTTTCCAGATTAGGAAACTTCTGAAATTGGTTGAACCACAGGTTCTGATTTCATGTCCATCAGAAACTTATTTATCAAGTCCCAGATATCTTCTGCTATGATAATGCGAGGAGAGAATGCATAGCTTGAATTGTATTTGTCAATGTGATTAACAAGATTCATGAACTCTGCTTTTTTCATGCAAATATTGCAATAAATTGGAAAGGTGCAGCTAACCAGAATTCTAATGTACATGCTAGATTCATTATCAGCTGTAGTGCCATGATGTAATAAATGGGAAATAATACTTAGCTATAGCTTTCTGTCTTGTTCTGCCATTAAAAGGGAGCTAAAGGAGCTGCATGTCCTCTATGTCCATAAATCTCATGAATATTGCATGAACTAAGATTTTCTTAAAATAACTAAAATAATTGCATCTATATCAACACTATGTAGATCTTTATTTTATTGGCTACCTTTTATTTAAAATACAGAAAATAATGAAGTGGTTCAAGATAATCAGCGATACATTGATCACGTGGCTGTGGTATCAACAAACTTTCTTTTCTTTGTTATCCTATTTATTTTTGCAGTTTTTGAAACGTAAGTATTTGGTTTTTTGTATCTTTAAAAAAAATATCTTTCTTACATTTCTTCATAATTTTGTGAACAAGGTCGGCTGCAACAGCTTTTTCTTACTACCATAACAGATTTAATACATCACTTTCAGCCTTCCTATTATTTATTTATTTATATCTCGCCTTTATTACTTTTTAACATGTAACTCAAAGCAGTGAATATATCCAACACACCTTTCTCCTATTTTCTCTCACAACAATCCTGTCAGGTGGGTCAATCAACTGGCTGTCCTAAAATAGAACTTGAATTTATGGTTTCCTGATTTCTAGCCTGTATGTATAATTAAATTAATTTTATATTCAGAATTCAGAATAAATCACAAGTTAAGTTTTTAAGAGAAAATTTCACAGAAGGATTACACATGCATTATCAGAGAGAAATTTATCAAGCATATACTTTAGAAAATAATTTATAGTCCAACTGGATAAAATAATATTGTTCTAGCAGTAAATATAGAAATGGCATCTCATAAAATCATGTTTTTATCTAATTATATAATTCATACATATTCAACTATATTCTCATACATTTCTAATTAGAATTTTTTCTTCACATAGTTTTATATAACTATGTCAATTTTCTTGCACTTGCTACTTTTCTTCATATACTACCCTGTTTCTCCAACAATACGGCCTCCCCCAATAGGAAGTCCCAGCATGTTTTATAGGCATGAAATGAAATTAAGCCCCTCCCCCCAAATTAAGGCCTATATTAAAACATGTGAAATGGGGGGAATGGTGGGGGGGCTTGCTGTAAGGAAGTATTTTTGTTGCACACCTGGATATGGTGCTACCTGCGTTGACCCCGATACGAAGTGTCCCACCAACGCTGAGGTCAACATCCAAGCCGTCGCCGCCCGCCCGAAGATGCAAGGGTGGGAAATAAGTCACCCCCGAAAAGACGGCCTAGCCATTTTTTCGGGGCTCAAAAACAAATAAGACCTAGCCTTATTATATGAGAAACACGGTATATTTTTTGTGAAATGTTAATCTCTTTCAGTGTTCTGCATAAAATTTTATTATAAAAACTTACAATTTGTATTTTAGTCTTTATTTTTTCCCCAAGGACCAATATTTTTCTTTAAATGATTTTGAATTTGAAACATTTCTATTTGTAACACTTGCTTTTTGTAATATGTTATTAGTACAAATGCTTCTTGCAGTTTTTATTCTCAATTAGATAGTTGGTGAACACTGAAATTCAGAAAGTTCTCTACTATATTTAATGTAATACATCTTTATTATATTTTTTTAGCATAGCTACACCGTTAACAATGGATATGTATGCGTGGACCAGAAAAAAAGCGGTGTTTATCAATGGCTTAATTCTTGGTGCTGTTGGCATTGAATCAGTGGTTGTGTTTTTATCAGTTAAAGAACTTTCTAAAAGGTAATATGTTCAAGTTATATTGTTTCAGTACAATATTTATTTCCACAAAATCTGATTTCAAAAAAAGGGATAAGTCCTAAAATACAAATGGCTGTGGGTAAATGCATTTCTCCAATAGTGATCTATTTACCTAATATCACTGATACTTAAATCATTTCAAACAAAGGACTCGGGTTTTGAATATGGAAAATTTTCCTTGAATAAAATATGGGTACTGTAATTTTATTTCATTATTCAACAGGATTGGTGAACGTGCAATCCTTTATGGAGGTCTAGTCTTTATCTTGGTTGGATTCTTTGTTCTGTTACCTTGGGGAAATCAGTTGCCTAATATCCAATGGACAGGTATAAATTTAAATGTTTGAATTATTTTAAGATCTTTGATGAATACATGTGGCCATATATGGTATTTATTTGTTTATTTTCAGACATAAGGAATAATTCTACTCCAAGAAGGATTTTTGGTGAAACCTTTGCATTTTTGTGGATGTCACAAATTGAATTTTCATCCAATACTACATCTGAAGCAACAGGATGTCCTAGTATACAAACTTGGTGCAGTTATACTCCAGTAATTCATCTGGGCCAGTATATCACTTCCGACATTCTAATAGGATTGGGTTATCCAGCCTGTAATGTGATGTCATATACTCTGTATTCAAAAATTTTAGGGCCAACACCTCAGGTAAGATTTAAATTTAGGCAGATTTTTTTAAAAACAAGTTTAACAGTTTTGGAAAATAAGTTGCCAAGTGGTAGATTACTGAGCTTGGGACTGTTTTTTGTCTTGCTTTGGTTAAGGGATAGACCTACATAGCATCAATATATTTTATCATCTAGCTCACATGATTTGGTGCAATATAGCTATGAATTGCTTCCTGTAATGGTCTGTCTTCATCAAAAAACTTTTTTATCCCTTCAGATTATCAAAGTTTTTAGTAAAGCTGAGCTACTGAATGTTTTGTGCATGAGAGTCAGATTTTTTTCAGGACAGCAATAATTTACTAAAAGCTATTATTGTTATCCTATAGGGACCTGGCTCTTCCATCAGGCCTTGGGCAGAAGAGTTTCATGAATTTATGAATATGCTACAATCTGTTTTAAATTTTGTATTTCCTTAAAGATTGATAGTTTGTTCTTTTAATATTATACTATTTTTAACTTAGCTTATATGCCACCTTGAGTTGTCTGACAATCAGGCCATCTCAGAAATCCTAATATTGCTACTGCTATTATTACTAATGATGATGATAGTGATGCTAATTTGCTGTCAAACTGGGAGAATGATAGTAGATTTTGTTTGAATATTTCAGGATTAAAACCTGTCATTAACACTAAACTCAATCTGATCTATTTTAGGGTATTTATATGGGATGGCTAACTGCTTGTGGAAGTGGTGCACGTATTCTGGGCCCGGTATTTGTCAGTCAACTCTACAGTTCCTTAGGACCCCGCTGGGCATTTGGTTCCATCTGTGGAATTGTCGTTCTTTCTCTCTTACTACTTGAAGTGGTGTACAAAAGACTTATTGCATTTTCAATCAGATATGAGAGCCTACAAGAACAGATCTCCTAACTACCTCTGCTCAGTCTTGTTCTACTTTAATCATTATTTGCTCTTTTCAGTATTTTGCATCTTTGGCAGATGGTTTATAGAATTATCATTCACCTTGACTGATAGTACTTCTATCACCAGATTTATATCAGTTTAATACTGGAAATCTACTGTGATACAGTAGATATTATTATTTTGGAGCATACTTTTAAGAGATGGCACTAGTTCTAATTATACACAATGGATATACAATATTTAAAATACATTGATTCTGTGAATCGTGTCTTAGATGAAACTTTTTAAACTTTAAAAGGCTATTTATTCTAACAAAGTTTTATGAGAATGATTAATATTTATGCATTTTTATCATTGGTTGGCTTTTTAAATTGAATGTATTTTAAGTAAAACATAGCAGAAATTAATGCTGATATTTTGTAACACATAATTTATTTTGGGATTTCCCACTCATTCAATGTATATTTTATATTTTAAAAACTGGTTCAAATAATATTAATATTAATAATATTAATGGTTCAAGATTAAAAATAAAAATAGTGTATGTTGATATAGCACTTGTAATAGAGATAAGCACTGAAACTGATAGAGTCCTCAGATTTAATAATTGGAGGCTACTGAGGTAGATATCTAAGGTTTCCACTATTATGCTAAGAATCTAAGTCAGTGCTTTCCTCAACAGTAAAACTTTAACCTATTATGAAATGTCTTCATATTAAACTGAAAAAAACTTTAAATGGTAATTGCCCAGTGTTGAAGTTACCTTTATTCCTGATTGTGCAACAGTGTAAGCAAATTGATTTTAGATTTTCTTAAAAATTCAACCTTTTTCATCTTAAAGCTATTTTGCACAGTTCCATATCTCATAAGCAGGACTTCCAGATCGCAAATCAGAAATCTGGTGATGTCAGATGTTGCTGAGACTCAGGAGGAGAAATTGAGATAGCGCATCCCTGGTGATGTCACAGAGGTGGGGTTCTCGTTGCATAGCACATCCTTTCATTTATTTGTAGATCGCTTACATGACATGTTTGGTAATAAGATTTTGGTTAGGGTTATAGAAAATTGTGAATTCATAAATTGTTTTGTACTTGACACAGCTGGTATCAGTTGATTGTTCTCTTAAATGAGTTTCATTCTGAAACAAAATGAAATACTATAGGGCTATCTGGTTCCAACTAAATACTAAAGTGTGGATATCAGGGCTGAACTGTTCGGTGGGAAGGTAATGAGAATGGGGAAAAGTCATAGATAGTAATGACAAATCAGGAAAGCAGTAGGAAAGGAAGGAAAATATTAGGAAGACGGCACAGTGTGATGTAACAGGCCATGTTGACATATCACTATCTATGGTCAAACAGGGAACGGAATGCATTGGAAGATGGTGAGGCAAGCCATTATTTGGGGGGCTATATTACAATGGAAACTGCAAAAGGGAAACATGTGCCAATCTTGCTTATTCACTTTATAAAAATCACTCTAAACTCCTATTGGTTTTGTTTTATCCAAAACCTGGTATGATAACAATGCTCAAAGATCAAAGATTCTACTGAAGCATAACTCATCCAGAATGGTTTGGGAGAATAGGTGTATCTGAAATTTGAAAAACTCTTTTCCATTCTGTACACACCTGTTTCCTTTTGTTTCTGTTCATCTAAGTCAAAGCATAATCAAATAAAAGTCTTCATATTATTATGTTCGATATATAATATACTTGCATACATTTCATTTCCACATTTTTTTACTTAACTATCTACCAACAGTGAACAATGTAAAAACCAGGACTGCACAATATTGCAAATTTGGTCCCTTTTATATGTTTTGCAACATTTTAGAGCAACTGTTATCCTGGAAAAGAGTGGGATTACTTCAAAATAGAGCAGATAATTGCTATTTTAGTGCTTTCTTCCACTCTGAAGCACCACAGAGATTAAAACTAAGGCACTGTGTCGCCATAGTAAAAATTCCTCCTATTTTTCATTTTTAAATTTGTGAAACAATGTATTTTACAGTGATCTTCACGAAGAAGACAATTGAGAATATTAAAGTTCTCATGCTTTCTGTTTTCACAGTGAAGGTTAAAAAGTTTTAGAGGAGAGAAATGGCAATTAATCCTGTCTGATGTTCTGAAATGTGCTGTGCTGCTTCCTCAACATCTTAGGATATGGTTGTTTATAAATATATAAGTCTGTATTATATGTAATGTTTATTTATTGATCAGTTAAATACAATATAGATCTGATAAGTAAATAAGTAAATAATGCCACATATCTGCTAAGTAATACGGGTCTGTGATGAAATTTGCTTAAATTATATTTTATTTTCTGACTCGCTTTCTCCTTATTTTGAAACTTTTACAATTGAGACACAGATTATTGTTTTCTCCAGAACACTTTCAGTGCTGTAGAAGGGGTGTTTCTTTTGTCAGCCTTGTTTTCTTTTTCCATATTAGCTTTTACTTCCAATGCAAAGAGAATAAGACAAATACTTGTTGGCTTAATAACTTTTTTTTTACTATACTAGTTCTATTTTTCCTGTTTCAACCTTCATTTTCTCTTTAAACTATAATACAAATCTATATATAGTTTCTAGAAAAACATCCTCAGGAATGTTTCAGCCACAATAGGATTCTTTCCCAAATTAAATACACTAGAATGGTTATAAACCTGTTTCTTGGAGTGCATGCAAGTGTACAAAACGTATGGATTCTACTGTAGATTAGAGTTTTATTAGTACACTAGTATCACTGTGCATACGAAGACATTTGTGTTAAATAAATCAAGGGATCTAAATTATCACTGCATTTATTTTTTAACACTTTTGCAGGGATATTTCATAAAAAGTTACAAAAATATAAAACAATAATAAAACAATAATTTTCATATCTGAAAATAGCATAAAATACAAAATATTTACAGGCATATATTGATTGCAATAGCAGAGGAGTTTTTTTTTCTTGAGAGCTGCGAAAACAGAACATGCACATATATACATTTGTGGGAGAAAACCAAGATGGTTACAGGATTTTCTATAAATTACATAAAATGCAAGTAATTTTGTTTTAATGTTTTAAAAGTAGAACACTTATACATCAAGTCCAGTCAGGAAAAACCAGTCTGGGTTTTTTGAAGAAAGTCTACTACTGTGAGTATAAAAAGAATTTATTTTCATTCAAGTTATTTAAATTTGTCATGTGCAGTTTGTCAGTGGGGGCCAACTGGATTGGTAAACATTACCAGAATGGAAGATAGACAGTGCAACTTTTCTTTGATGAATTCTGGAAGTTTTTCATCTTCTCTATACCTGGGAAGATACCAATATTCCAATTTTAATATTTTGGGATAGCACCTTTTATTTTACATCATTCCAGTATATAAGAGAAATAATCTTACATTAAGAACCGCACTAAATACCTGGGAAGGACCAAAATCATAATGAATTCTGTTGCAATTATTTGGGGGAGAGGCTATGTTTTAGTTCTCAAACTTATATTAAATTGCAGTGAAAACATAAAATGGTTTGACAATGGATTCCCATGTTTTGGTACAATGGACAGATAGGATGTATAATCTATAGTGATAACTCAGAATGTTTGTCCTCTGCTACAAAGTGTATGGAGATCTCTGAAGCACAAGAGATTCTTTACAATATTCTGAGGCACTGAAGAGAATTTAGCAAAGCTGATATTAATCTACCCATGAATAACTTGTGGAAGCAGGATCTTCATTTATGGGGCAGAATTAGCCAGAAATTACTCATGTATCTAAAGGTTAAAAAAAAAAATCATTCCAGATTTTGCTAAGTGATGGTAATTTCTAATTCATTTAATTTATTTAAAATGGATAAACAACCATATTGAGCCAGATGATACTGGATTTTGTGAGCATATGTGAAGGATAAACTCCTGAAATGACAACTATGGTGATGGGCATAATCAGTTACTAAGAACTCATTTGTGAACTAGCCTCCTAGGCTATTCTCTTCTGAAGTACCTTTCTGGAGCCCCTAAAGCATTCTCCCACTAAATATGCTGAAAGCTTGTGCTTTGCTTTGCAGCAGGCCAGTCTTCTAATTTTGTTTTATTAAAAGTAAGTTAGAAGAGCATCAAAGTGGAGTCCACAAGCTTTAACCTCTTGCATTAAATGTTCTGATTAGAGCTATTATCTCATTAACAAATTAAACTAATGGTCTAATGATTTAAACCACACTTTCAGACAAAGGATAAGGGAATAAAACAGTTAACAATTATATGTTATGGTTGTATTTTGCACATACAGGTCAACCTACACTACATACATAACCTACACTATGGACAATAACATGTGGTTGGTGTATGGTACAAATTCAAAAAACAGGATTGAGTAAATTATAGTTATGTTAACCATAGATAGGTTACATTTTTTCACATTTCTCCTACATAAATATATTTTAAATATTGGAAGTTCCTAAAATTGATTCCTCAACTGCTGTTTTGAGACATGACTTTTTGTTGTTTAATGTTAAAACACAACCACTAGATGAATTTGCAGATAATTTTAGAACATTGATTTCTGCACAAGTGTATATGCATATTGTAAGAAAGCAATTATCCAGCTGCCTCCCAAAGCAAAGGCAGGAGGAGTCAATAAAAAATTTAGTTCACTAGCAGTTTCCTATTTTGTCATTGTATACAAATCAGGAATTGTGATTTTAAATAAGTTAATTTGTCTAAGAATTAAGAATTTAGAGCTATTATAATTTGCTTTAATCACATTTACTGGTTCATATATAAATCAGCCTTCACAGATTGTTTCAACTCAATAATTCCAACTGAAGAGGAGTGAAACATGGCAAACAAAGCATTCATTTCAAGTCACATTTCAACAAATGCTTACTAATGAACTATGTTATACGTTCCCTGTTTTCCTAGTCTTTTCATGAAAATAACTTGTCAGAACATGAATTATCCTATCAAAAAGCTGGAGATTACTGTGTAATTGGAGGACTGTCCATTTATAAAATGTTCAGATTGAACAAAATGGCTTACAGCATAATATGAGCTTGTAAAAAAGTGGCTCCCATACTCTTAGAAAACATTAATGTGCCACACTTCCAAGGATGGCTTAATTAATTTTTTCAACTAGGCCTCTGAATTAGTTCAATGTTCAAATATAGTTCAAATATAATTTGGCATTTGAATAATTTGACATTTAAATCTCTTTCTCTCTCTCTTTGTATGTATGTGTATGTATGTATGTATGCATGTGTGTATATATATACACACACACACACACACATACCCACAACATTTTTATTGTTTAGTGCTTTTCCTGTTTTTATTGTTTTTACGGGGGTTTCTTCTTTTTTCTTAATTTTAGTTCAGATTTGTTAAAAATACTTTATTATGTAACAGTTTTATCTGTCAAATTGTTTTAAAAATAATATAGATGTAGCAGTAGAACAGATAGTTGAATTGATGAAAAACAAGTGGAGAAAATAACATATCAGAATTTGCAAACTGAAATTTTAATATGTAATTTTTAAAATCAAAATTGACACACTGACTACAAAAAAATCATGTTGCTTGTATACTGCATACGTCCCTACACTCTTGCTTAGAAATCAAATGAGAAAATATAAAGTCCAGAGACTGATACTTATTGAAGGATTAGTTAATAATAACAAAACTGATACATACCTAACTGTGTCACCAGCTGGAGATGTGTAAGTAATAGAAGAAACCCCAGCCTGAGCAACCAA